GCCCCGCGCTCACGCTGCAGGCAGTCGGCGTTGAGCAGGTCCTGGCACTTCTCGTGGCACTTGACGCCGCACTCGGTGCAGCGCATGCCCTGGCGCGCGATGCCCCACAGCAGCCCTTCGCACTCGTAGCAGTAGGTGGGCGTGGTGGCCGTCCACACCTCGAAGTTGTGCGGCGTCGTGCACGAGATGGGGTAGATTAAGGCTTGCAGGGTCTTCTTGTAAACGTGGTTTTTCTGCGGGGAGGGAGGGGGTGCGGCATGGGGCGCAGGGCCCTCACCTGGGGGCCCTGTCCTGCCCTGCCCTCACCTTGCGCAAAGCCTGGTCTACCTCAGTCCCTCCGTCGCCCCCACGCGGTCGGGATTCACAGGTTCCTGTGCACACAGGGTGCTAACCCCCTGGCGAGCTATCTACCCCTGGAGAGTGGAGAATGTCTGTCTCTGCCACACCTTTCACTCTTCCTCCAGAAGCCCCCAGCTCAGCCCACCTTACAACCCCACGCACCAGCTCCTCGTTGTTCAAAGTGCTGGAGGCCAAGGCCGATGTGATGCCCGCTTTTCTGGACTGGACCAGGGACTGGGGCGGGGAAGACATCAAGGGAATCATGGGGTTGATTGACACCCATGGGATTGTCACCGAGAGCAGAATCCACAGCCATGGTTTGGGACCACCAGCCAGAGTCAAGCCACAGTCACGACAAATAAGACAGGTCACAGCAGCAGGAACAGAACCAGCAAAGAATTGGAAAGTGACAGAGGTTCCGGTTTAGAAGGGACCCTGAAAGGTGAGCAGCCCCGCACCCCTGACTCACCCATACCCTACCACCATGAGCCAGACTTGGCCATGGTCACCAGCCACAGAGCAAAACCACCAGCCACACCATGAACCAAGGCGGGGAGTCACCTGCTCTCTTCCCCACCCGTGAACCATAGGACACCGCAAGGTTTCCTCCTCAGTACCCATGGGTTGGGGCCATTCGGAAGATCCCAGTGGAAGGGTCTGGGACAGAGACTCAGGGCCCAGGTCACCATCACTCACTCACCATGGCCTGAAGTGTCCATGCAGCACATAGGGCAGAAATTAAATTACGTTAGTCCCAGAGAAGCCCTTGTCAGCCCCCAGCCCTAGGTCTGTCATGGGCAGTTGTACAGGTTGAGCACT